AAGTGCTTGAGGTGAGGGAAACAACGTGGTGGGAAAAACTGTCGCCATTTTTGGGTAAATTTGATGGTCCTTCGATTTGTTTGTTCTTTAATTTTGATGGGACACAACCCATTTGGGTTCTTGATTTTGGTGTGTGTTTTGATAATGGGTTTGCTCTGTTTCTAACATGGTAAGAAAACCGTTTGTAAGGAAAGGACAGAGGCCAACGGTCAAGATATTTGAATTGGGTGTCAAATTCCCAAAATGTCTTATTCCTTTTGTTTTTTTCTTTATTTGTAAAATTGGTCATTGTGAAGAGATTCGAGAATAACGAAGAAAGGTCAAAGGAAAAATACAGTCTCCGAGCTATACCGTCGGGATTTGTAACAGTTAGATATCATGTAACGGTCATGGATAGTTGATCTAATAGTTACAAACTCCGATTGAATGATTCTATAACGAGACCATAGAATTTCCCACAAAACAAAACAGGTTTGTCCAAACTACAATTTGAACACAATTACTGCCATCAAATTAGGACAAGAAGATTAAAATGATAATATACAATAAATTTTTTCAACGACAAGGGTGTGATAATGTAAATCCTTTTGCCCTACAATTTTTTGCGCTGATGATTTTTTGCCGTGTTTGTCATGGAGAAGTTTTGATTATTTTTTTATGATTTTCAATTATCTATTTAATAGTAATAAATTAAGTGATGTTTTTGGTAGAAAATCTATGGAGTAGCAAATGGTTTTCTTATAGAGTCACCTATCACTTGATGTATTGACACATGTCTAAAATGTATTTATTATATAAAACGTGTCAATATACTATTTGTTAATAAGTGTAGATGGCTCCAGTATAAGTCGAGTCATCCGATGGCTCCATAGCGAAACCGATGATCAAAAATTCTATGGAGCCATCGGATGACTTTCTTATGGAGTCATCCATAGCTTTATGTACCGATACATGTTCAATATGCATTTATTGCAGGACAATTGTCAATATATCATTTGTGAATAACTATAGATGACTCCATAAGCCGAGCATCTGATGGCTCCATAGCAAAGCTGTAAGAATGATATTATAGTAACTTTTAACTGTTGCAAGTCATTTTTTTTTTTTCATTTTTTTCAGTTAATAAACATGTTTTATTAAAATGTTATACATTAAAAAGAAAATAAATAAAAGTATGATATTTTGTTGTATAAATATCATTTTTTAAAAAAAAAATGGTACGAAAAAATTGACCTGCATATACAGGATGATGAGTTATTTAATTAATGCTATTATTGAAGTAACCAGTATTTATTTTAATACCAAAGGATTTGTGTACAAATAGAAATAATTATATCTTCGTTTTCAAATATATGTTTGGATTTTGATATATTTAGAATGAGCCTTCAATTTTCAGTGGTGTAAAAAATGTTAAATTATGAACCTTTATAAAATAATTCAATTGAACAATCACAATATATTATTTGCAAATATTTCATGGCCTCCCAGTAAGAGGACACTAGGATTGTATATTTTATTTAAAAATGTTTTAATAATTCTTTTGTCCAACTATATATATTAAACATTAAGGATGGAAATAAAATATAAATAATTAAAGGTTTATATATATATATATATAAAAAAAAAAACATATGTCGTGGGAAGTAGTTGGAAAATTTGCTATTTGACAGACAATATCTTTTAATAAATATATTTTAACAGCTATTTTTTCAATTGTATTATAAAAAAGTAGTAGTGGTAAAAATGATGAAATATTAATTAGTACTGATTGATTAAAAAAAATGTAAGTGATTACTAGATGTATAGTATTTTTGTGAAAATGTAATAATGAAAGTTTAAAAATTTTAATTACGTAATTGGAATTAAATAGAAAAAAGTGAGATGAAAATAATATTTTATTTTGTGATTTCTTTATCTGAATCAAATCTATATCTATATATATATAAAGAGGGAGTTGATGGAATTGATGTTACTAATGATAGCAGTAAATGCTTCTTTTGGAAATGGTATCAACAATATTTTTGGAAATAAATATATAATTAGTATGTTTGCCTTTTAGATTTAATAAATCATTCATGATAATTGGTTAACAATTTAATATGTAATAAGTATTTTCTATGACTTGATTTTTAGAAATAAATTTATAATTAGTATGTCTGCCCTTTTGATTTACTAAATCATTCATGATAATTAGTTCTCAATATAATATATAATAAGTATTTTCTTACTTAAAAGACGATATTAATTAATTACTGACATATTTAGTGATTGAATTAAATGATATAATACATATTAGTGCCTATGCATAGTATAAATATCATGAAAATTGGTGCCTAC